CCCCCCCCCCCCCCCCCCCCCCGCCCCAAGCCCCGAGCACTGAAAGCTGCCCTCCCTCCCTCCTTAGGCTCCACTCCTATGCCGCCTCCATCCGTAAGGCTGTGTTGGCGTCCATGGACAACGAAAACGTGAGGCTCTTCTTCTCCCCTCCCCTGCCTTACCCCAGCCCCTTCCCCCGGTGGGGGTTGAGCTGGCATGCCACCTGAGGGGCCAGAGGTGATGACCTGGCACTTCCTGCTGTCCCCCAGGGGAGGGCATTACCAGCTACGGTAGGACTCTCTTGGACTTAGCTGGTACCACCGCCCTCCCGCTGGCGGGTCTGACCCCTGCAAGCCATGAGAGATGGTGGGCGGCACAGGGTAGGGGTCAGGTGGCGGCGGAGCCCAGACGTGTGCTCAGGTTCGCCCGTGTCCCGCAGATGCACACCCCAGACATCGGGGGCCAAGGCACTACATCGGAAGCCATCCAGGACATCATCCGCCACATCCGCATCATCAATGGCCGGGCTGTGGAGGCCTAGGTTGTCCCTGGGCCTCCCTTAGCTCGCTCCCCCTTCCCGCTCCCAGCCCCTCAGCCAGCTTGGTGGGCAGACCCAGAGTAAATCAGCTTCTGGCCCGATCTTGGCTGCCGTGCTTCTGTCCCTTCAGGACACTGGCGTTTCAGTTCACACTTTATTAAGAAAAGAAAAATGCGCACACTTCCCATCCGAGGCCCTCAGTGAGGGCTGGGGACAGAACAAATGCTGAATGGCGGGCCTGGCTCCAGCCTCTCTGCCCCACCGAGAGAGCTCGCGCACAGCAGGGTGGGGGAAGGCAGCTCACCCTGAAGGGTGGCTCACGGGGACAGGAGCCGTCCAGCTTTCCCTGAAGGCACTGGGGGCGGGCGGGGGGCGGGGGGGGAGGGCGGGGGACAGGCACGCCTCAAGCTGCACAAAGTGCCCGTGGGGCCTAAGGGTTGAGCCAGGGGTGCCGGAGGCAGTCGGCCGCGCTGGCCCGCTTCTCGGGGATATACTCCATCATGGGCAGCAGGAAGGCGCTGAACTGCGTGGCCTGCTCCAGGGGCCACTCGTACTTCTCCATGAGCACCTCGTACAGGCCCCAGTGCTTGAGGTTGTGGATGTGCCGCAGCTCTCCTGGGGGCAGGCCGGCAGGCTTGAGGTTAGGCGCTGCCGGCAAGGGGGCCTCTGGACCCAGCGCTCCCCCTGTTTTGGAGCCTGTGCTCCCTGCGCCACACACTACGCCCAGGTGGCCCGAGCCTGCCCGGCCCTACCTCTCCGGTTGAAGAACTCCCGGGAATAGCGGCCCGAGAGGGCAAAGGCTGGGGGGATGTCTCCCAAAAGCTCCACGATGTGGGCGATGTGGTCTGTGGACAGAGAGGAGGCCGGGTGGTGGCTGGGCGGCGGCCGGGCGGCCGGGAGGCCCCCAGCCCGAGCCCAGGGCCAGCCTCCCCCTACCCTCGTCACGACTGTAGTCTTCTCCGGAGTGAGGTTCGAATAGGTAGTCTCCGGTGGCCAGCTCGAAGGCCTAAAACGGGGGGCAAGTGAGGCCGCCAGCTGCGGGGGCTGTGGGGGGCGGCTGGGCCACGGCAGCGGGAGGCATACCATGCATGCTGTGCTCCAGATGTCGGCGGGGGGCCCATACTCGGCCCCGATGAGTACTTCCACGGCCCGGTACTGGCGTGTCTGGATGTCCTCGGTAAAGTGCTTGTGCTGGGGGCAAGGGGAGCCCTGGGGAGGAGCCGGGGCCACGGCTGGCCCGCCCCCAGTGGCCCCCACCATCTCCCACCTCTGGGTCGAACAACCAAGGAGCTCAGTGGGGCTCCCTCTGAGCCTCAGGATCCCCAGAGGTCCTGAGAGGGACTGGCCGCTTCCCAGTGGTCCCCCGCCCCTTGCAATGGGTCCAGTTTTGGTGACTGGATGGGACGGACGCTGGTCTGGGCTCAGTCGTGGCTCTGTGTCTCGAGGCAGACCCCAGGGTCTGGTCGAGTGGCAGTTCGGGCCCCGTGGGGCTCGCAGGAGCCCTGCCTGTGCCCCTGCCCTCGCAGCCGGGTGCCCAGCTCTGCTCTCTGGGCTGCTCATACCACCCAGCAGGCGTTGCCCAGGTCTGCGATCTTGATCTTGATCTTGTCTGCATTTTGGGGCTCTAGGGGGTTCACCAGGAGGTTCGAGGCACCAAACGGTGCTGGAGAAGGAAGAGAAGGGAGAGGCTGCGCCGGCGGGGCCCCTTGGGCCCCACCTGCCCAGCCCCGCTCGCCGGCCTGCCGCCTGTCCAAGCCACCCAGCAAGCCCACCCGCAGGCCGGGCCCCACTTACTGCTGGGTGACAGGAGGCCCCCCGTCTCCCGCTGGTTGGAGGAGCCTGAGAGGATGGAGCACGAGGCGGGAGAGAAAAGGGAGCCCGAGAAGCCGGAGGTCTGGGAGCCCGGGCTGAGGCTGCGCTCGCCCCCGGCGGCTGGGGAGGAGGAGGCGGAGGAGGGGCCGGCTCCGGCCCCGCCCCCGGGGTGGCACCCGGACGAGGACGTGGAGCCGCTGCCCCCCTCGAGCCTCGAGCCAGCATCTGGGGAGACGGGCAGGGGCGGGCTGTGAGCGGACACCCCGGAGGCCTGCGCCTGCCGGGTGCGCGCCGCGGCCCCTCACCCTCGGTCTGGGCCCCTCACCCTCGGTCTGGGCCACCGCCTCCATGGCCTCCAGCCTCTGCAGGTCTCGCAGCCGCTCCTCCAGCAGCCGCTTCTGCAGCTTCCGCTTGCGCCGCATCTTCTTCCTCTTGTTTTTCGACAGCTTACCGGTCTGCCAGCAGAGCCGGGGTCACCCCAGGGCTCCTGTCGCCCAGCCCCTGATCGCCCACGCCTCTGCCCGTGGCCTGCATGCCTCGTGGAAGACGAGGCCTCTGGGCCCTAGAGCCACCGTGGACATAAGCGCGTGCCACCTCGCTCCGGCCCACTGCTTGGCACCAGCCCTTCCCTGCGCGAAGCTCGAGTTTTGGGGGAGAGGGGAGCTGATGGGCCTTCGCCTAGGCGAGAGCCCGCCTCCCCTGGGGGACAGCTTGGGCCCCTCCTGGCCCTGGACGCAGTGTCCTTCCACTGAGGCAGTAGCAAACCAAGCGACCACCAAGGGCATGATGTGACCCACCTTGTGTACCACCCTCATCCCTGGGGAGGGCAGGGATGTGGGGAGGGTGTGGGACCAAAGAGGCCAAGGAGGGAGGGAGCTCTGGGGAGATGAGGCCCGGGAAAAGGGGGCCACCCCAACTTACCGAGACCTCCTGTGGGGCGGTGCTGACTAGGGGGGCAGGGCATTGGGGGAGAGAGAGGAAGAAAGACTCAGGCAGGGGCTGAGGCCCACAGGCCCCACCCTGGGCCCTTGCACGCTGGTGGTGGTACCTGTGGAACGGGATGGGGGCGGTGCCCCTGACTGCTGCCACTCTGTGGCCTCCGTGGCCAGGCGCCTGATGTAGGCATCACCCACACACAGCAGGATGTTCTCGGGCTTGATGTCTGTGTGGATGATCTTGCACTTGGTGTGGAGGTAGTCCAGGCCATGCAGCACCTGGGGAGAGGCACTCCAGAACTTTACCAGCCCTGCCCCGGCCACCCCGCCACGCTCTTAGAGCACGTGATGCTCACCTGCCTCACGATGCTCTTGACGCAGGGCACGGGCAGGCCCTGGTAGTTGGACTTGATGATCCACTTGAGGAGCTGGTGGCCCAGGACTTCCAGCACCATGCACACATCTGGGGCTGGGAGTGAAGGGTGGCCAGTAGGCCCACAGCGGGAGGCACTGGCCCTGCCCGCCCGCAGCCGGGGCTGGGGAGCAACAGGGTCTGGCAGTGCAGAGTCCCCACCTTCCCGGTGTGATTAGAGTGTTCCTGTCACTCTCAGGTGTGCCACTGGGGAGGTACCTTCTGCGCTCACCCCAGGGAGAGGGCACTTGAGGAGCAGACACAGAGGCCTCTCAGGCCAGCCCCAGTCCCAGGCCCAAGTGCGCCCAAGACCTCGGGAGAAGCTCCCAAGTGGAAGGCACTGCCACACAGGTGGCCCCTGCCGTTTGGGGGTAACTTGGCAATGCCCGTGAATAACTGCTGTCAGCCTGGTCATCCACTCACCCCCACATAAAGACAACCCTCAAAAGCGGTGGGGCTGTTTTGTAGACTAGCATCACTCGAAGGGATAAGCCCCCATTGTGCAGATCGGTAAACCGAGGCCCTGGTAGCTGGGATGGTGGGGGCGGCACTGCTGCCGCCACACTGCTCTGCTCATCCTACAAAGGATACGGACTCCGTTGACCCCTGAGATCCTGAAGTCATCAATGAGCTGGACAATGGTCTCTCTTTTGGGGTCACTGGGGTCACTGTCTCGGACCTGGAGCAAAGGGACCACGAACGGCTCCAACCTGTCCCTCGCCAGCTGGTCCCTTCTGCGCCCCCCGCGCACCACCGGCCTCCTCCTCGTATCGCCCTGGCCTGCTCCTGCAGGCGCTCCCAGGCAGAGCCAGCTGGAGCCTGCCCCTCTGGGAACTCCGCCCTGCCTGGGAGCTGGGAGTGCGGAGGGTGGCGCCTCACACATTTCAGGAGCTTGATCTCATCCACGGCGGTCTCCGTGTAATGCCCCGCGCTCTTCACCACTTTCAGGGCCACGAAGCGCTTGCGCCTGCAACACCAAGCCCTGCGTCGGCTGCCGGCCCGGCTAGTCCCGTGGGGGCAGTCTGGTGGCCCCAACCAAGCCCAGGGGTAGGCTCCCAGCTGCCACTGGGCCCTGGGGGGTGAGCGGAGGGGGCACTTACTGGATATCCCAGCAGAGCCAGACGGTGGAGAAGTGGCCCCAGCCCAGCTTGCGCACCACATGGTACCGCCCATTGAACAGGTCGCCAATCTTCACGGGGTAGTAGCCGCCTGGGGAAGGAGCCCATAGAGCACGGTGGGCAGTGCCGCCTTCCTTGCGGGGGGGGGGGGGGG